AAGAGCAGCTCTTGAAAGATGGGAAACCCCAGCCTGCAACTCGTGCGTTTCCAAGCGTCCTTGAGCGTCCTTGCCCGAACCCTTGAGGGACTTTCGATTTTCAAGAGTTGTCAGGCCGTTATCCTGACTCCATTCAAAAAAAACAAAGCTGTATGACTGTCGTTTTCCATCCTCTGTCTAACACCATTGCCCTTTCGAGAGTGCTGTGTGTCGAGGGGCCGAAAACTCTTGAAGACCCAACTCTTGAGAACGTCTGACAGCTCTTGAAAAATTTCCCCGTTTCAAGAGTGGTGTGGCGACGCCCTAAATAAGAGCGGTGCAGGATCTGGAAGACCTCACGGAACTAAGAGTGCTAGAACAGAAAGGAATGAAGAAGGCTCCCACGGTGACACTACTGGGTGTAGCTGAAAGGTTCAAGGTTGAACCTCTTATATATGGATGGGATAAGAACCAGACCCAGCTACCAGAGGACACTGCGTTGATTAAATACAAACCGAAGACAGGAGTAGCATTACAGCGGGCATTGGTGGTTGATCCACCAGCTGCAGAAGCAACAAGGAGAAATCTTCAGGATCAGGGGGGGGGAGGACTACAGCCACAGTGGGACAAGCTGTGGAAGACCCTAAAGAAACTTCCCTCTCAGAAGCAGGCCAGCCTCATCTGGCAGCAAGTGCTGCAGGTCACCCCGGTGGCTACTTGGTTATCAGGAAAAGGCATGAACATAAAGGAGACATGCAAAAGATGTGGCCTGGATAGAGAAACCTCACAGCATCTTTGGTTACTCTGTCCGCGGTCTACCTTAGTGTGGGAATGGTGGAAGTCCTTCTGGAAGAGTATGCAAGAAAGCTCTGTAGAATGGACCGACGAATGGATCTTATATAACACTGCTGCCCTGAAGACAGGCTACGAGGCGGGTTGGGGCTATGTAGCCTTGGTTTGCAGGGGAGCTATCATGGAGGTCATCTGGGCAGCAAGGAACGCGAAGGTGTTCTGCAACACTGACACAGCGATTCAGATGCAGAAGCATCAAATTCGGAGGAACATTCGCCTGGCCATCCAAGCGGACTGGGACAGATATAGACATTCTGCAGGCAGAGGTCGAAGTTGGTTCGGCAGAACTTGGGCGTTACGGAGTAAGTTTGCCTCGATTACGAGGGAAGGCAATTTGAAAATTGTTTCTGGGCTCCTAGGGAGTGGGGTAAGGAGCTAGATAGACACCGGTTACAGACAGGGTCGAATTAGGCCCGACTTGTACTATAGATGTCGACGGTTCTCTTTTGCCCAGGCTCTCTAAGGCCCTCTTTTACCTATGCCTTAACAGGAGAGAAGGTCACTTTAAGTTTAGAGTGATTCAAGAGCGTTTCGTTTCAGGCCAAATGGAATTACACTGAATACGAAGGCAGTCCCTCTCATCAGTGCTTCAAGGCTTAATTGTTAGGATATTGGATAGACATTGATTACAAAGACAGTCTTTTTTACCAGTGCCTCAAGGTTTTACTTTTTGGAAAGTTATTGTAGGCAAGGGACGCTGGACCCGGTTTCCAGCAGAAGTGGGGATATATCAGATACAGCTGGAGGTGGTGCGAGCTTGCTCGTAAAGCGAAACTGGCTCATGCTGCCAGGATAACTCCGGGTAGAATTGTGAGGTCCCCGGCCTCTTTCCCCTTGCTTTTAATTGAATGATTGAAACTTTCCAAAAAAAAAAAAAAAAAAAGAAAGGAGCCATCTGAAAAGCTGATACTTGGAGATGTGCTCTTAACAACGCAGGCAGCACGGTCCTCAGGTGTTTTTTATCCAAAAACAAACAAACAAACAAACAAAAGACTTCCTCGACTGAATCTGACCTCAGATGCAGTCAGGTGCTTGTAGGCCTAGTGTGAGTATGCCTTTCGACGCAATCAACCATTTTTATTTTTATTTTCTTCATTGACATTTAAAGGTTGACATCTCCAGAAACAATTCAGGGTAATAAGACTGGTGGTGCTTACTAGCAGGAAAGATGTTGCGGCCTCCCCAATAACGATCTGGACCCCGATCTTGTCCTCAGGAAATTGTTATCCTTTTGACACAGGTTCAAACAAGACGAAGAAGTTTCTGGAATTAGCAGACACTTCAGAATGGGCATACATAAGCTCAGGAAGCACCAAAAATGAATCCTACTTGTAGAGAAGTCATAATTTGTGTGATAGATAGGAAGAAGCCCAAACAGGGGCAATACTACCAGGGGGGACCAGCGCGGTCCACCGGAACATTCGGGCGGGCCTAATGGACTGTGCTATAGCGATGAAAGTCCGATGAGACAGTCTGGCACAGTCATGCCTTTTTTTTTTTGCGTAGTTGTCTATAGCGAACATGACAACACACACACACACACACACACACACACACACACACACACACACACACACACACACACACACACACACACACACATGCAAACGCTATGGTGGACTGTGCTCTACTTCGTGCTGTGATGGATTCACGCACACATACACGAACACACCCAACCAGAACCAACATCCGAAAAACACACACCCACGCACTGCACCCGAACACACACATTACATTTTGGGGTGCAGCTCAAGAGGTTTTGCCGTGGGTAAGCTCTTTTACGTGCCGGAGGTTAGGCTGTGCATCTTGAAGGTTGGACGCTCATTGGGCTCTGCATTGCAGGCTGGAAGCTCAGGCTCGGGTTGTGCATTGCATGTTTCGTACGATCGGGCCACCATGACCGAACGTGAGTAAGCCCTCAGTTTCTGTTTCGTTTCCATCGGTTTCTGTTTCGTTTCCATCGATTTTCTGCTTCTTTGGTTTCTATGTTGTCTCTCTTGATCGTTCGACCGATGGACGTGGCCAGTCCGGCACACACACACACACACACACACACACACAGAGAGAGAGAGAGAGAGAGAGAGAGAGAGAGAGAGAGAGAGAGAGAGAGAGAGAGAGAGAG